GTTTAAGTGAAATATTTTAAAGTTTTTCAAACCGTTATTGCACTAGGAAAAGAGAGGTTTATAGGACAAAAAGATGGCAAACAGAATCATAGAATGGTCTGGGTTGAAAGGGACCTCAAAGCTCTTTTCATTCTACTCTCCTGCCATGGCCAGGGACACCTTCCACCATCCCACGTTACTCCAAACCCTGCCCAGCCTGGCCTTGGACACTGCCAGGGATGGGACAGCCTCAGCTTCTCTAGGAAACCTGTGCCAGTGTCTCAGCACACTCATAAAAAAGAATCTCTTCTTAAAATCTAATCTAAATCCACCCTCTTTCAGTTTAAAGCCATTACCCCTTGTCCTATCACCACACACCCTTGTACAAGGAAGAATATGGAGGAAAGACTTTTTTTTTCATTTTCCCTTGAAAAAGCATTCAAAATCCTAAAAATAAAGAAGGGGAAACAATAAATATGATGGGATTGAAAAAATTGATGCAAACTGCAGAATATATCTTGAAAATCACTGTGCTGTCTCACCTTCTGCATCCCTTCAATTGGTGAAAGCTCTTGGAACTCCAGTGATATTAAAAGATTGCAATATCCATTTGCTCACAGTGCCCATGGGGAGCCCACTTGCATGTGGCTGTTCCTGTGATTCCCAGCCCTTGTTCTGCAAAATACACTCAGTTCCTGCCTGTAAATCCTACAGCTTGCTTTCCCAGCTGCAACAGCACAGACAGATGCTGTTACAGGCACACTGCTCCCCTAAATCCACGGCATGCTTACATTGCTGAGCATGTCACCAAATACCATTATATAACAATACATCAAGTTTGGCAACCAACCACCTCTGGGAACTCTATCAGCAAAAATTTCACATTTTCTTCCAAGTCACAGCTAAAAATATCAAACATCAGGCTATGAAAAACTTAACAAGTTACTGCAATTAACAAACACATTTTCTGCTACCACCAAAAATAACTAATATGTACAACATAATTGATAATACTTTATTATGACATTTTTTACTGCAGTGATAACAGATTAAATGGTTTTGGGCTAAAAATTAAGATCCTGCTGAGCTGACAGGTAATCCTAAGAAATATGAGATTAGCGTAGCATGAAGAAATATCTATTTAGCAAATAAGAGACTTAGCATGAAGCTCTGATGGCTGGCAAAAGAACACAAAAAACTAAATTATATAAACAGACTATCTCTGTATCTGCCCTTTTTCACTCCCTAGAACCAAGCTGAGTGGTCAATCCAACACTCAGGTGCATTTTTATATTCTTGGAATTTCCCCAAAGTGCTATCTAAAATGACAAGCCCTCCTCTGAGGGACTTTTGGGACAACTTTTATTTAAAACTACTGGTACAAGTTATCCACTTTGATGAGTAAGGAGTGAAACGTACTTAACGTTCTTCTGCACTAAAACACACTTGTTTATAACGAAAGAAACTCATAAAGTAAGAAAACATGCAGAATTAGTCTTAAATGCAAAGCAAATGTCTATAACCATGAGGAGGCCTCATGGCTTCTGGTATCTTTAAGGTTTACCTTTGAAAAGGGACTACAACAGGGAAAGAAGAGATGAGGCTGCTCATATGAATATATATTTTTAAACAATTTTAAAATTTTTTGCTAAGAAAAATCTGGGTCATTTGTTACATTTAACAGCTTTTACCTATAAGCAGGTAACTGTTTTGCCTTGCAGAAGAACAGAAGTCATCCAATAAGTCTGGTTTGGCAGCAAATCCACTCTCCCGAGTCCTCTGTGCGAGGATCTGGTCCCTTGGTGCCTCTCCTAATGAAGGACTGTCTACATTCTGTCCCCATCCCAGAGCCAGCGTGCTACCTGGCACCACTGCTGGCAAACACAGCCAGCAACTCACAGAGCTTGGCAACCCAACTGCTCCAGCCCAGAAGAGCTTCGACATTCAGAAACAAAGCACAGAGTTTGAGGAACAGTAGGGAAACCTCAATGCCATAATTAGTGCTATAATTTGGTCTATTTGTCAAGTAGAAGCAGGACTTCAACCTTCTGGCATGTGTGTTTAGGGCTCTTTGTAAAACAAACACACAGAAGCTGGTAAATACCCAGCCTTGCAGTCTTTTTCCAGGGGAAAAGGCACAGAATTGAATTGGGGGAACTGAAGAGCTGGTGGATGACTAGAGTCAAATTCAGAAAACAAACAGGAGCTCTGTGCTGTGCCTGCAGCACTGCTGTTTATACATTTTGACCTTTCACAGAGGATCACTCGCTCACTGTGTGACCACACCAAGAGCACCATTGAACGCGAGGGTCCCGGCACTGGCACCACCACCACCTGACTGGGAGCCTGTGAGAAAAGCCACTCAAAGCACACAAAATGTAGTTTTAAACCAAGTGGGGAGAGGGAGGAGGAGAAATTTCCCGCACTAAGCACACCACAGAGATATTTTAATCAGGCCACAAAAGCAAGTTGAGCCAAACACCAACTGACTCGGATCATATCGCATCAATAATCCACGCACAGAGGCTCTGCTGAAATCAATGGGAGGCTTGTGTGGAAGTGGATTGTAGAACATAAATGCACGGCCCTGTTCAGGGCTCCACATACAAAAGAAAAGGAGGTACTGAGAACAATTCCCTTAATTAGCATTTCTCTTCCATCGAGTGCTTCTAAAATAATAAATTCTAACTTTACACAGCTCTGTTTTCATTCACAGTTTTTATCAGAGGTGGTAAAACAACTGACCCCATTTGACAAATAAGAGAACTGAAGCATAGGATGCAAATCAAACTGATGAGCAGCGCAGCAGGCAGAGCTGAACTGGGAATAGCAGCTTACCTTCTGAATCACACTTTAATGTCCTAGATATTTACATGCTTATCTAGTTCAAGTCTCCAATTAGGGTGACTCTGTTCAGCCCTTAAATAATTTTGCATACTTCCTAAAGTACCTGTGCAGAGTGATAAGCTTAGCTGTAAAGAGTTTCCCATTCAATAATGTCAATTTTATGAGGGTTTAGAATATCCTGCAGAAGTTCAAAACACTGGGCTGCCCTAGTCAGGCTCCAAAGGGAGTCTCATTGCTCAGGTATCACAAGTCTCATTACTCAACAGCAATAAAGAATTTTAAAACAGGCTGTCAAATCCACACGCCTCCTGTCATTAAAGGAAAAAAAAGGGAAAAAACCCCAAACAAAATAACAACTTGCCAATTCATTAGCTAGAAGCAACCTAACTCATCTTGGTGTTCCAAAGCGACAGCAATCCCTAAGAAAAAGCGAGATTGGGTCTCTATTCAAGAAGTCAGAGTAAAATGTCATATAGACCAATTGCAAAACAAAACTCCAGTCTTACTTGTCGGTGATTGTTTTACAGCAATACACTATACTGTATTCACCCCAAAAAAACATGTTTATTAAAGTGATATCAGCTTCACTTGCATACTAGAGGTACAAATCAGGCTTCACATATAGAATCAGCATTTAGCTAAATGCAGACTGTGTCATCCCCAGGTCCTGAGTATTTGTCCTCCTATGCAAATCCAACTTTGAAATGCTTAACATCTTATGGAAGATTAATTCAGCAATATGTCCACTTTCTAGTTTACATTTTGTACATTATTAAGTACTATATTACACAGGCTTAGTGCAAATAACAAGCACGTTCATTTCCCTTAACTACAGATGCAAGTACATAATACTGTGAAAATAACATATTTTGAGTTAAATGAGCTTTCTGCTCTTTACAATTACAGTGTTCAACTGCTTTGAATAATAACTTTTTAGGACTGGCTCGCTTTGTCTTTTGCATTCCTTTTTCAGATTTTTTTTTAAGAGTCAAGTCTATCACTATCAAAAAAGCAGAAATGCCTGCTGAGAAATGGCCACATTTCCAACCCACTGCTTGAAGAATTATTTTTCTGATTCATCACAGCATTATTTTTTCAAGTTGTCAAAACAAACACCACACCCTCTTGATTTCCGAGTTCTGGGTAATTATATTTAGAATTAGCAAGTAGCACACAACTATTAATCATACAATGCTTAGCCCTTACTTTACCTATTTAGAGATCAGCCAATGCATTCAAAGGCCGCCTGTTTAGCATCTGGTTTAAGATATACCCTCATCGCCACATTCCGCACCAGCACGGCACAGACGGGCACAGACACCCTGAATACAGGGCAGGCCATGCACAGGCGATCCCTCTGCCCCAGGGCAGGATCAGCTCCTGCTCAGCCACCATTATCGCTGATGATACACAAGAACTGGTTATTTCAGGCAGCAGCTTTACACACGCACTCACAAAACACATTATAAATTAAAGGAGGGAAGCGTGTGGCACGTCTGCAGTGCTTTAAACTGGGGCAGCGCTCAAGCTGGTCTCCGAAAGATAAAAAAATACAAATAAAAGCTTCCCCAACGTGCGAGTCCGGATTTTCTAAAAGTAGTATCTAGCAAGGTTAACGCCGCTGCCTTTGGAAACAGTTCACCTTGTTTAAACTGGCTGAACCACCCCGTGATTATCACCGAGCCTCCATTAAGATGACACACACAAACAGAGCCCTCGCAGAGCTCAATTACTCCTTTCTCCGCTCCTACACCACCAGACACGGACTTTTTCATATTTCGCCCCTTCCCCTCTCGCAGCGGAGGAGCAGCAGCAGCAGCGAGCACGGGGCTGTCACGGCGGCGGGGCCGGGACCCGCCTGCCCTGCCCCGCCGCCCCCGGGAGCGCCCGGACCCGCCTGCCCCCGCCAGACCCTGCCCGGCCGCGGGACACAGAGCCCTCATTGTGGCCCGACCCCCGCCCGCCCGCCCGCCCGGGCACTGCTCGGTAGCGCCGACACAGCAGCTCGGCTCGGCTCGGGGGCGCCGGGCGGGACGGGGCAGCACCGGCGGCAGGGGCCGCGGCCGCAGCAGCTCCCAGGGGCTCCTGCCGTCCTGCCGCCCGCAGCGCCGGCTGAGGGACCGCGCTCCCCCGGCACCAGCTCCGCACGAGCCCCGCACGAGCCCCGCACTCACCGCCCCCACCTCCGCCACCCTCTTCGTCCATGTTGGGACCGCGGGCAGGGCGCTCCGCGGCGGCCGCGGCTCAGGGAGGCCCGGGGCTCGTTCCACTCGCTCGGCGCCTCGCAGCCGCTCCTGTTCCTTCTCTTTCTCCTTCTTCTCTTCTTCTTCCTTCTCCGCTGCTACTACCACCGCCGCTCTCGGCTGCTGCGCTCCGCAGCCCCGTCCCTCCCCGCCCAACCCAACCTCAGCCCCGGCAGCCACCACCGCCTCGGCCCAGCCGCCCGCCCCTCTCATGTGACCCGCCGAGGGGAGGCGGCCCCGCCCGGCCTCTCCGCCGCCACCCCCGCGCCGCAGGGTCGCAGCCAGCGCCGCGCTGCTCGTCCCCCTCAGCGCCCCGGCCGACCTGTGCTGCGGAGCGGAGCATCCTGGCTGCCCTTTGCGGTGTTCCCTCCCCGGCAGGTCCCGCACGGCGCGGCCCCGCAGCGCCGAGGCCCCTCAGGCGACTTGCCCGGGGACTGTCGCGGGTCGCTTGGGCGGTTGGGAGCGAGAGGAGCCTGGGCCGGGTCACTTGGGCTCGTGCTGGCCGAGGTCGTCTTTTGGGGTCTGCAAGAGCCAGAAAATGTCTGCAGAGCCCCTGACTCTTTTGTGGAGGTCTAAAGACTCTTGGGAATTCTAAAGGGGAGCGGGAGGAGACTGGAAGGTGAGGGCTGAGTGGCCTGAAGCCCTGTAGTGAAGGGGGACGAGATGGGTTGAAGTCTGGAAGTCTTTTCTCTGGAAAAGAGTCCGAGACATCTGATGTTTCTGCAGATATTCTGCTGGTTTCTTGCTCCTTATTCTTGTATCCGGTGCTGGGTGCTCCCCTTGCTACCAGCGGTCATGGAGAGCCTGGTGTAGGAATGGGACTGTGCCCCATGGGCGGTGCGGGGGTTTGTGTTGGTGAGCATTGTCTGTGTGGATAACAGAAAGGACTCTCCTGCTTACTGCCCTAGGAGCCAGAGCATCTGTGGCATTTCGTTAGTCTTCAGTAAACTCTTCAGTGAGTTACCTACCATGGGAGTCAGGATATCAGCAGCCTCCAAAGTCTGCAAAGGTAAGCTGAAGTGTACTGGCACACATCACTCTTCCTTCCTTCCTTCCTTCCTTGGCACCGCCCCTTATTATTTTTTAAAAACCGTTCGTGTCAAAATTTTATTCAGAAAGGAAGCTGTGGGAGGAAAAGGTCAGCCAACAGGAAAATATCGGGTTTTTCATTTTCCTTTTGTAGGCTGGTGTGGGACAGAGCACCGTCTAGGAAGCTGTGTCAGGAGCCCTCACCTCTTGACACGGCTGCTAATAGCTGGTTATTACAGCCCATTTTGCTGAGAGCTGAGGTTTGCCTCTGACAGCTGCTCTGGTGATAAAGTGTTTTACCTCATCTAAAAATCATAAACCTTTAAAATACTCCTCTTTGTCTTACATATTTGAAATTAAGTATTGTTACAAGTTTAGCAAGTTAGTTATAAAAAGGATACGATTACATAAAACAGAAGCATCACCTTGGTAAGAGATTTATTTTGAAATGATGTCTATAAAGTGCCATTAAAGGATGGTTTAAAATAAGTCTTAGTGCAGATGAACTGACAGTGGGCTCTGAATATTTTTGCACACTGAGCAAACTGTTCATTTACATTAGTGGGGAATCTGGTTCATGAGAAAAATTCTAATTTTGTAATCAATCACAGATTGTTTGCTCTCATTTAATTTATGCTGGTTTACACCTTTATATAAGGGATATGTTTTTATGTCCTTCCTTCCTTCCTTCCTTCCGCCACTTCCTTCTGCCACTTCCTTCCTTCTTTCCGCCACTTCCTTCCTTCCATCACTTCCTTCCTTCAAATTCTAGTCCAAAATACAAAAATTCTATTAGCAGGGAAGAGTGAAGTGTGGAGAACAGTCCTCCTCCCACCCATTCAGTGCAAAATTCCTGTTGACTGCATGAAAACAAAACTAGTTTCAAAACTCTCCAAATTAATAGCAAAGTGAAAAATTGTTTTGTGATGCAAGGAAGATATGAGAAATGTCTGTCCTAGTTACAAGTGACCAGTTGCAATATTTATTAGAAACTTCTTGGTGAAATCCAATTTCAAACTCATGAGGTATGGAAAATGTTCTTTATTATACTTCATTATTAACTTGAATAGGGAAATTTTCAGTGTTTTGCTGAATATATATAGCTTACTGTGTTGGCACTCTGGAATATATGTCATTTAATACCTTCTCAAGAAGAATCTGTTCTTTCCTGTCCTACTTTAGTAGGATGACTTATTAATGATACCTCGTACAAAAGAGTACTGAAATGATAGTAGTGAAATTATAGTACTGAAATATAGAATCCTCTCCAAGGCCTTTGTGTGTCTTTGAAAGGATGGCAGATATTCCTTAAAACATTTTCATTCATGCTGTGTGTATCATAAATACAGTTACTTTTGCATGGGCCTGATCCTACAAGTGTTCTAAACACGAAACTGTTAATTCTGTGTACAAGGTGCTTTACTGGACAAAGCTGTTCAATCTGTAGATGAGAGGTGTCACAGAAACTTTTAAGATCAAACCTTTCACCCTGTTGCCTCATTTTCCTGTGGATAAAGTAAAGCTCGTGTCTGCCTGTAAACCTAACTAGGTCAGGAGTAGATTTTTTTGAAAATGTGTAAAATCAAGTAAAGAATTACAGTCACAGTTCCACATTGTAGCTATAGCAGTTCTACCATAGCAGAACTCCTCCCTGGTTTTTGGCAATTCAACAGTAACACCACTATCATGAAATCTGGGGTAGTTCCTTACCAGCACAGATGCCAGGAGCAATACAGGTTACAATCTCAGCAAATTCCAAGACAAACTCCAATAAATTATTTCCTGCTCATGTGAATAACTTTTTTCACATCTACTTTGTGTTCTGGAATTTTGATCATTCTTCTGCTTTGAAGTACATATCAATTTAATTTTTTTTTCTTCATATTATTGAGACTTTCAATCAACAGTTTTCTCAGGATTGCTTGAATTTTTTTTCCTTCTTGTACCATCTTCTGCAGCCTTAGGTCTATTTCTACCACCAGTATGTTTTGTCACTTTCATATCCACAAGTCTAACCTTCTGTGTTGGAAGAACTTTGTAGTCTGTCATTCATGTAAATAATAGTCTAATAGAAGGTCTTTAGTGGAAAATTGGGCTTTCTCCAAAACCTGCTGTTGGCAGGGTTGATTCCTCAATGATAAATGTGGTTGCTTGCTGATTTTTCAGGTAATATATTTTGTCTTCTTTTTTTTTTTTCCTGTCCCTCTTTGGATAGTTCAGTAACTGTTCTGATTCAGTTTCCACTAAGAAGTAATTTATCATGTCATTTTTCATTTTAAGAGTTGAGGAGCACATCTGTTATGGCATTTGTCCCTATACAGAGAGTCAGTGAAGACAACTGAAACCCTTACATCACATTTTTGTGGTCTATAAAGCTCATTAAATATGAAGCCATTCCTGTGGGTTTCAGTTAGAACCAGATTCCAAGAGCAGTGAATGAAAATAAAAATTTTACGATTATAGATTTCATAAAGTTTTTATTTCTAATCAAAAGCATGAGCTATGAGGATGTTCATAGTAGCATTGTACTCAAGTATAAGACATAAAATTCTGAATTTTCTCAATGCAGAAAGAAATAAAGTAGCTGTTGGGCCATCAGACTGGATGTCAGTGTCAGGCACAGGGAGATGGAATGATGCTCCTTACTGTTGGAAGTGGAGTCTTCCTTCCTTTTTTGTTGGAAGGAAGACTCACCTCCATGCAGGGATTCCTGTTTCTTGTGTAGAGAAGACATCACTCATTGGCAAGTGTGGCTGAGTGTGATTTCTGTTGGATCTGGTGAGATGGAAAGTTACCCTGAAGGAAAACAGTTCATCTTAGAGACATGAACATCTGTACTTAGTAATACATTCTTAGAGAATATAGATCTATACCAGAAATATAGATACATCTTGAACAATACAGGTGTTGTGCTGTGTTTTATAATCTAGAATTGATTGGGTGATTTTGCAACTTGCTCACGAAGATGTCTCCCATTTAGGAAAACAGTGCGAGCATTTCATTTCCTAAAACAACACCTTGTTGATAGAATCACTGTCACTGATACCCAGCCATTGTATTAAAGAATACTTTTGTTTCAAATCTAGACAATCAAACAGTTTTTATTTTTTAAGAAGCATTGCTTAATGGTTTCCATGCAGGAAAGTCTTAGACCATCAGCATGTCCTTTTTTCCCCTATTTTTTTGTTGCTATTTTTTTTTAAATTAATCAGTACTTGAATAATCTGGTATTCTTAAACCCCTCAGGCAAACTCTTTGACTTCCTCTGCCTGGCAGATGGGTTTTAGCCACGTATTGTTTCTTAAAATGTTTATGTTGTCACACTGATCGTATTTCTCTCAGCTGGAAAAACATTTTTGTCGAAAATCCTGTTTGCTGGTTGTCTCAAAGGTTTTAAAAGTGCTTGTACCTTCCATTTAGGCCAAAAAAATTTTACATGCAGGTATTTTATATTGCTTTGGGGAACATCAAAGCTAAAGCTTAGCAAGTCAAACATCTTTTATGAATGGTGCTTTTTTGTATGGATAGGAAGCTAGTTCCATTAAAATAGTCAAAACCCCCAAGAATAAAGATATGTCTCTTCTAAAAATGTTGCAGGGGTTTCTCTCAGATTAACTTTGAAATCATATCCTGAATTTTATTTGCAGTTAAATTCCTATTCTTGACACATTTGAGGGTTTGTGGTTTTTTTAAGATTTCTAAATGAGCTTTATCTACCCCTAGCATCAAATATTACTGGTTTTGGAAGGCAGTGGTTGTTTCCATTGTGTAACACTGATAGGGCCACTTATGAGTCATTGAGGAAAAAACACCAGAATGTCCCAGTGAGGAAAACAAAATGCATCAAAAATTGCAAAGGTCCATCACCTATGTAATTCTTCTGATCTGAAATACACTTTGCATTAGAACTTGTTCTACCTGTATTAATTATGCACAGTACTAGACACAAGCAGGATGCTTTCTAGCATGAAAGCTGGGCCTAAAATAACAGAAAAAGAGGACTTGGATTCAAAGAACATGGG